GGTGTTCAGTTTTCTCCTCTCTCTCTCTCTCTCTCTCTCCCCACTTGCATAATGTACACTCCGGCTGATTGTTACTGCAAATGAATACACGAACTGGATTATAGATGGGAGTTTCCAGACCAAAAACGAAAGGAAGCCTATGAATTATCAACCTGCAAACTAAAAATGAAGCTCTCCTCATCTAACTTATCTGCACAAATTCTTGAATGAACTGCATCTGCATGCCTTGGGTCAAGCTCAAGCTGATTCGGTATGTTCATTATCCAGAATTCCAGATGGCCCAAATACCCCATGCAGAATTCCAGATGGCCCAAATACCCCATGCATCCTCTGACAGAGAGGCCTTTTTAGGCGGCATGCCACATGAAAACATTAACCACTTCAAAGGAATTGCATGTTGTAAAGTGGGAGATCGATCAAACTGTTTTTCTCCGGTCTCCGGAATGGTGTGTGGAATGACAATTATGTCACTGATCAATTGCCAACATTATCCTTTCCAACGAATGAAAGCATCTCACTGCCAGAAACACATGCAAGATGACTCAGTTCACAGAAATATTTACATTCCCTTAACAGAACAAGCTTCTCAACAGTCACAAGTGATTTTTATCTTTGCCTGTGTACATTTTTTCACCTCTGTCTATATATTTATTATACGACAGCAGGGGTTTCCTGTACCCTTGCCTCATTTCTAGCACTAATGTTCTTCAAGGGCAAAATGCATAGGTCAGTAGTTTTGTATAAATTGTCAAATATAGGTAGACGATGGAGCATTTCCATATGGCATGCAACAAGACCATCGTCCGTTTCCTCTGTTGAAACTTTATGCATAAAAACATCCCGACCACTATATCCAATCCCAATTCATTCCCAACCTATTTCCTTTTTCCTTTATGCTTCCCTTCCCTCCGCTCCTTGATCTCTTTGCCACCGATAAAGCTCTCTTTCTTAGGTCTTTTACTTTTGGCTCCACTGTCCTGTCACCAATCTTGGTATTCAACTTTCAGTACAGATGTAGTAAGCCTACAAATCCACTATAACGTTTCAATCAACGGTTTGAAGTTAGGATGCTGTTGTATTCTGAAGGGCCAGAAATTTTGGCATGAGAAGCACCAGGAAACAGGAATGACTGCGTGGTTGATTGATCGGTGGAGATGCTTTCTGTTCATGAGTCAGGAAACAAGAATTAATGCTCTGTTCGCTTGGCTGATAAGCCATGGCTGCTTTCAGATTCAACAGGATGAACACCTGTACTATCAAGAACCGTACCTCCTCTTGCCACTTATGTACAGAACTACTGTTTCAGAACATATGACAAGTATCTTTAAACCCATGTTTTCCTTTTCCATTCTCGTGTTTCGCATAGATTTATTTGTTCTCAACTCCATTACAGCTTAGCAAACAGCTAGACATATGAATACATTACCAGAAAGAATTCAATTCATTTTTCTGAAAGTGAACACGTACTGTTATAGTTGTCAAAGCTGTTTATCGCACAGATAGTTTCAAAGAAACCAACTATGTTATCCCAGTACCTTTCAGTAATTTAAATTCAGAAACTAACTGTAGCACACCAAGAAGATAGGTTCTAAGGATAGCACCTCGGTAAAAGTTATCAACGAAACTGACAAGTATAAGCACCAATAGTATATTTCGAGCATTCACTATATACAAAAGGAGGCGCCCTACTAAAAGAAACTTACTTACCATCTTTACCAAATAGCATCACACCCATGCACTTCACTGCCTTTTGATGCTCTTCCTTCTGAAAATCGATGAACCTCTGAGTGTCAGCCATCAATAGCTCGGTGTACTTCTCATAGAGTGTTGTTTCCTTCTTTTCCTTGGCTTCCTGGTGCTTTAGTCTTGCCATCTCAAGCTTCTCTTTTGAGAGTTGGATTTGTACCTCCGACATCTTCTCACGATCCTTCTGAAGCATTCTCTGTAGATCCACTGCACGTTTAATGTCTTCCTGCACCTCCGAGGAAGGATATGATATGTTCCCTTTACGTTTCCGCTTGGCCTTTTCCATCTTGGAACTTTGTGGGTGAGTTTCTTTTTCTGGAGCACATCTCACCGTCATTGCATGTTCCAGTCCTTTGCAATCTTGTGGATGTCTTCCCTTTTCAGGCACGTTTTCCCTAACTGAATTTCCATTGTGAAGTTCATTGAAACTCAAAGTGCCAGCCATCAATTTCTCTTTCTCATGCTGAAACTCATAGAGCGTCGAAGTGTCTGCCACTAAATTATTCTTCTCACGCACGTTTTGAGGACCCACTGAGCTTTGAATGCCTTGTTGCAACTCTATTGAAGGATATGGCATTTTGCTTTTGCCCTCCCATTTCTTCTTTGCAGACATGCTATCTTTGTCATCCATTTCTTTTTCTGATACATCACTGGCATCTTCAGAGGATGACGTGCAGTCTCCAGACTCAGATAATTTGGTACCCTTAGAATATAATGAAGAGATGTAGCTTTTCCACTTGGGTTGGTCCCAGACAGATTTCCAAAGATGGCTCAACGTGAAATCATGTTTTGCTTCCTCAAGGTACATCGCCCTTGCTTCCTCGTCATACTTTACCCATGTTTTGTCCATCAGTTGCATTTTATCAGATTGCACGCTCGAATATTTCTTCTCGCTTTGGCACCAGCAGTCATAGAAGTGGGCCATCTTCATGGTAATCTTGTGCCAGTGAAGCTTCAATTGATTTCGTGACCTTCTCCGATCTTTTGGAGTGCTGCTATTGTACAGCTTTGTGACATTTCCCCAGTGCACGCCATTCTTCCTGGAACTATTCAGCTTGAAACTATTCAACCAAGCGTTAATCTGCAGTTCCAACACAAACATGTAAGAGAAAAGAAATGCAGAGCCCTAACATCATGAACTGAGTAAAAAAAAATCTCACCAGTCTTAAGTCCTCCAATTCTGTCCAATTCAATCGCAATCGCTTAGAAGTCCTATCAGGTTGAGTGTTCTCTTCATTGTCTACACTAACAGTGTCTTGTAAATCTGGACCAGTTACAGAGTGCAAGGTGCCTGAGTATGACACAGGCATAAATGGCACTGCTCCAGCAATTGGAGGTTGAAGTGGCAGTGCAGGCAGTGGCATAGTTCCAGCTGATGCAGGCGGTGGCATTGACATAGTCCCAGCAGGTTGAGGTGGTAGTTGTGGCAGTGAGAATGGAGCATATTGTGGTTGAACAACAACATACTGGACATTTGGTGGATATAGGTGTTGCTGGGGAAATTGCTGGTGGGGGGCACTCATGGTATACGATGGATGCGAAAATGAGATTTGCTGTGGAAACTGCGAATGCAAATTCACTGGATTGGGCTTTCCCGGTGGTTCACTTGGACAACTCTTACCATTTGAGAACCCAATGGGAGGATGGGGATCCATTGGAACCAAATAGAAATGACACGTTGGGAGGAACTTGGTGTGATCAAATGGTAGAGCAATCCAGGATAAATAAGGAAGATAAGATTATTTGCATCTTAGATTCTGTGGATCTTTCTATAACAAGATATAAATGAAATGTTACAAACTGCATTTTCAAGGGAGAGTTTTCACTTCCATATTTCCTGTTTGTTACATTGAACCCACAATAAGACTGTCAACAATTCCATAATTGATGTTCCACTAAAATGAAGGAGCTCAGAGCTAACAGTAGTATTGGTAGTAACTGTGTGTTGGTAGATGTTACACTCCTGCGAGAAAATAAATTGTCAAACAAAGAAGTTGAATTTTGTAACAACATTGGATTGGTTAATAGGAGATAGCAAAGAAGTTGTATCACAATAACTTGAAAAGCTCTTCTGAGATATAAAAAACTAGATTGACAAATTACAACTCATCTTTTGGATTAGTATTCCTAGATAGAGCTGTTTGAAGTTAGCCAACAGACTAAATTAAGCATGTTTTCTTGGACCACCACTGACCTCAAAGTTTTCCAGCAAAATGGAGCAACACAGAGTACTAAAATAAATTATCTCAGATTTAGGAGATTGAAAATTAACACAATAAGAATGGACCTAATCACATTTTTTATTTTTTTCATATTTGTGAAAGATTTACCAAATCCTTTAATTTGAGCAGCATCATTGTATGCAACAGATGCTGGTATAGCTTTCTGGGACAAAGCTAACTAACATGCATTATTAAGGAATGACAAGTGGTAAAAGAAGGTAGACAATCATAGTGAACTTCTGAAGCTTCATTATATCTTTGCAAATGTCTTTCTAAGATCATCAGAACTGATTTGAAGCTGGTGCTGCAGAACTAATAGTTTTGAAGAACAGTAGCCCAATTAGAACAGTCTCTTTTAGCCGTGTTGTAAAAAAAAAAAAATCAATATCAGGTTCTTGCAGAACATTTCTGAAGCATTTTAATCTAATCATTGATATAGTAAAATTATATGGGGTTAACAACAAAAAACAAGATCTAGGTCAACTACTTTGAAGAACATAATGATTAAATAAAGTAACTGGTTCCTCATGTCATAGCACTATACATGTTACATGCAACTGGACATGCAAATAATCATCTCATAAACTAGATTTTTCAAATCTAAACGTGGCAACATTAGATCAGATATAAAGGACTGATGAGAAGCATCATCTGTTCTTATTAGTTGGAGAAAGCCAGCAGTAAAGCTTCAAAATCTACAAATGATTGGCAGTATGACCATATCTGCATCATTGGATCAATTCAGTTGAACATTGTCCAGTATATCTATGAATGGCTAGTCTGCTTTTACCCTTCATGTCAACACGGCATTAAGGATAGTGCAAGTCCAACAGCATGGTAAATGCTACTCCCTCCATCTCCATTTCAAATTGTGGGGAGTTCTGGCTTTTCTACGTATCTAGACATAATATACATCTAGATGCGTAGAAAAACCAGAAGGACTTACAATTTGGAACGGAGGGAGTGACATTTTCACTGAATTGCGAGATAAGAGAGCCAAGATTGCAGGGTAGAACTGGTGAACTGTAGAACATGTACAGTGTCCAAGCATCTGAACAGGAGGGACGAAACTTTCCTAGTGACTCCTACAAGATCCTTTGCTCAAGGTAATGGGTCGATGTCTAATAACACTGCGATTCCTACTGTACAAATTCATCCACGCGCCTGCAATCCGCGAATACAATTTCTCCCCAATTCCTCCAATCCGGAGATCCCGGAAAGCCTAATGGTATTAGGATACCAACATTCAACAGAGCTGTTCTGTTTATTCCAACTTCTAAAGGTAAATAAAATCAAGTAAATTGGTATGTGCAGGCTGGGTCAACAGCCAAGAACCGTACCGCAGCCGGGATGTTGCGAGGGGGAATGCCGCGACCGGAGAAGCAGAGGCACCGTGCCAGCGGCGGCAGTTTGCGCTGCGTCGCCAGACTGTGAGAGGCCTGAGCGAGCGGCGCGGTCAAGGCGGTTGGGCCGGAGAAGGGTCGGTCCGGTGCTGGCGGAGGGCGGCGGCGAGGGTTGGGGGCGGGGGGTTTTGGCTGTTTGGGGTGAGAAGGGGATGGCGGAATGCGTGGGCGCGACACCGTGGCAAGTAATGGCTGTGTTCGCTGTTCGGTTTGTGGTCCGCTGCGAGAGGAAACGCTGCTGGTCCTGACTAAAACTAACGAAGGAATACGCTGAATAAAGAAAGAGAAAAAAAAAATCCTTTATTCATGATAAACCATTTTGGCCCGACGTTTTTGTCGTTGGAGGCGTAGGTGGTTTCCACCGATGCGTAGGTGCGGATAAAGAGCCAAGCCAACTCTATTTTTTCTTGGATTCTTCTTTAAAATTGATATAATCTCATTTATTACGGTCTCTTGAGTTATTTGAGATCAAAACTTCATAATGGGCTGAGCCAAACGAGCAATCGAAAGTCACTCAAAATCAACTTATTTTTATTTTTAAAAAATAAGTTTTGAAATGAGCCACCGAGCCAGCTCAATAAGCTTTTTTTGTTCGGCCCTATCGATATCTTTTGTGCAGCCCACGCATTATTCTAAACCAACACCATGTACTATGCCATTGCACATTCGCCACAACCGTTCCTTGGCAATGGGCCCCATCTAGTCGTGCCTCCGTCCATGGTCGTCCCCCTAGCATCTACATCGGTAGCCTTCCCTAGCTTATGCTGCGAGTTGAGCTTGGCTCATCAAGGCAGGCAGCAACGCCACCTTCCCCACGGACCACCGTAGGGTGGCTATTCCTCTTTCGCATGAGTTGGTCACCCTCTCCTCTATAACCGCCACTAGCCATGGCTCCTCCTCCCCATGAGCTAGTTGTCGGCGTCGAGCTTTGCTCCGCCAATGCTCGTGGTGCACCTTCACACTGCTGGTGCCTCCACCACGCCAATGATCGATGCTCTGCCTTCGTACACTATTAGGAATATCCATTTCTATGACGAATAGCTTTCGTCACTAAAGAAGTCAAATTCGTCATAATTTTAGTTTTATGATGAATTTATGACAAAAAACGGTTTCATCATAGAAGTCGCGTCACTCTTGCATATCTATGACGAATCTGACAAAATCATCATAGAAGTGTCTTGATCTATGACGGAAAACATATCGTCATGCGTGGCAGGGGGCTGTCACGCTGGTGGGCGCTTCCGTTAGAGATGCTTTCACGTGTACATACTATAGCCGGTTATATTGGAGATGGTTCGGGTATGTGTCACCTTTTTATTGCCCAACGTGACCATCTCTGGTTCTTGCACGTTTAAGGTTCTTATTGGACCACGTGTCATTTCCCCATTGTTCCACATGTCAGTTTTCTACTAGCACACGTGTCATATTGCCGTTGGATCACGTATCACTTCTTCATTGAACCACGTGTCGTATTTTTATTGGTCCACGTGTCCGTTTCTTATTTGACCACGCGTCACTACACTGTCCGTCCACGTGTCGTATTTTTATACGTTCATGTGGCTTGACTATTTCCTTCCACGTGTCCGATTTTTAATAGCCCACGTGTCATGCCCTGGCCAATTCATGTGTTGTGCATTGGTTCGTCCACGTGTCGCATTTTTATTTGATCACGTGGCCTGTCCTGGTTCTACCGCGTGGAGTATAATCAATTCGTCATCAAAGTAATTCGAGATCGTTACTACTGCACAGACTGACTACATAACTATTTAGCTTGGCAATCAAATAGCAACAATTTACATTTCATACGTCAGCAGCAAACCACTGACAGAGTGCACACATCAAACCGGCACATGAATCCACACATTAAACCGGCATACGAGTTCACACATCAAACCGGCACATGAATCCACACATCAAATCATAAATGTTCACTACATCAAGCCACAGGAGTTGAAGACTGAGAATTATCAAAAGAGCTGAAGCGCGTGCATAGCTCACAGAGATTGTTGTACTCCTCTTGTTGCCATTTCTTGTATTCCTCAAGCTCCATTTTAGTCTTTTTGTCTTCCTCTTCAGTTCATCCACTTGATCGATGAGGGTAGCGAAACTTTCCTGTTCAGCAGCAAGCTGTTCTCGAAGTATTCTCTCCGTCGATGTCTCTGTTCTAGTGAAGCTTGTCTAGATACCATCATTCTTCAAAAAAGGTTGTTGCCGCTTCTCTGGTGAAAGATCCTAATAGCTAGGGGGGATGAATAGCGTATTAAAAATTCTACAACAACACTTATACCAAATGGTTAGACAATTATGAAGCGAAGCGAATGTTGTGCTAGCCTACTAAAAATATAAGCCATCTAATCATAATTCTAGTTGCTATAGTCTCTAAGTTACACACAAGGCTAGGTCACTATCACTAAGTTAGTGAGCTCTCAAAGACTAACTAAAGAGCATCACTAACCACTAGACAAGACATAAGCTAGCTCTCAAAACTAGTTACACTAAAGCTTAGCTACACTATGAATGTAAATATAAGAGAGGGATAGTGTGTTATACCGCTGTGTCGAGGAATGAGCCAATCATAAGATGAAGCCAATCAAACACAATAGAATCCCGGTGACAAGAGATGACATAAGATTTTTCACTGAGGTTCACTTGCTTGTCGACAAGCTAATCCCCGTTGTGGCGATACACTCACTTGGAGGTTCATGCGCTAATTGGCATCACACATCAAACCCGCAACCAGATGCCGCACAACCAACATAAGATGAGGATCCACAAGCCACGAACAATCCACTAGAGTATCTTTTGGCTCTCTATCGGGGAAAGGTCAAGAATCCCTCACAATCACCACGATTGGATCCGGAGATAAGCACCTTCCTCCGCTCGATGATCCTCGCTGCACCAAGCCATCTAGGTGGCGGCAACCACCAAGAGTAACAAGTGAACTCCGCAACGAAACACAATCACCAAGTGCCTCTAGATGCAATCACACAAGCAATGCACTTGGATGCTCTCAATCTCACCAAACTATTGATCCAATCAAGCTGAGTGAGAGAGTATTGGCTAGGCTCACAAGAGTGTATAGGCATTGCAAATGGCCAAGAGTGTGAGCAAGAGCCGGCCAACATGCTTTTATAGAGCCCCCAATGAAGTAGAGCCATTATGCTTAAAGGAGCGCCTTTGCGCACTGATCGGACATGCTGATCGGGATGACCAGACACAGACTCCCTAGGGTTCGATCGCTACGATGCGATCACGTGTCCTCCACATTCAACCTCCGCCGCCCGATCCCAACGGTCGACAAACTTCCTTTTGTGGTTAAGTTCACATTGGACATGCCCAAGACAGGACCAGACACGCCAGTGCCAGCCCAGCTCATGCGCGCGCTCACGCCAACACACATCGATCGGATGTGCTACTCTCTGCGACTGTGTAGAGTCTGATCGAGTCCAGTAAGCATCCCGAGAGGAAAATCCACAACCGGATGCGTCAGGTCACACGTGACCAGACGTAGACCCGAGTCCGGTCCTCTCTAGCCAACTCCTTCGCATTGCATTAGCGTACGTCACCTCTGATCGGACGTAGGCCCTACGCATCCGGTCCACTTCTTCTTCAGCATTCGATGCCAAACCCTTGCTGCGCTGCTTCTTCTACTGACTGGATGCTCGGCCAGAGTCCGGTCACAACGTCCGGTCGAGGGAAAATAACCCCTCGACTTCACCAACTTCTTCACCCTTGCTCAAATGTGCTAACCACCAAGTGTACCACTTTGTGCAGTGTGTTAACATATTTTAAAAAATATTTTAAGGGTGTTAGCACTCACTAGAATCTAAATGCATATACAATGAATTAGAATGTCTAGTGGCACTTTGATACACGCATTTCGATATGAGTTTGTTGACACCAAAATTTGGAAAGAAGAACGCGGGAACTCGAAGCTTCCAGGATTGTGTCATCAAGGAATCGATTGGATGAGAATCAGTATCAGCTGATTTAGATGTAATGTCAAAATTGACTATTTTATGGATGACGTCAGCAACCGACGTCAATGGGCTATACTTGAGTGGCGCCAGGGAGATGTGCCGGACTCTACGAATAAGGAAAATTGGGGTCCAAGTTATTATTAAGTTAGGAAGTTTTCTTTTATTCCAAGAATTGTAATGAGTCGTATTTGAGTAGGATTCATGTTTAGGTTCTGGGTATAAATATTAGACCCTGGTTATTGTAAAAGGATACGAACATTCAATCAATACATTTTTTTTGGCTTTTGCCATCACATTAGGAGTAGGAGTACTGTAGATCTTGACGAGTTCTTCAGCAAACAGGGCTATATCGACAGATCGAATCGACCTTCAGCTTGCTTGTGAGTACCGTCACAACTTGTATTATGCTTGTAAAGCTGCATCGGCCGATTGATCTTTTATGAGCCATAATATAAGTTAGTTATCGATCTGTATCGTAGTTTGTAAGGTTGTATCAGCTGATTGATCTCTTACGAATCACAATATAGATCAAAGTTATCGATCTTGTGTTAAATAACTTATTGTTTAATACAATATCACTAGTTATCGAATCTGCTCATATTAGTAAGATTTTCCTTGCTGTTTTTGGTTGATTCACCAGTTATCTATCTTGCTATAATTAATATTTTATTAATTATAATAAAATCACCCGATTGAAATAGAGATAGATCAGCATCATATCATCTTAATTGGCCGTCTTCTAGTCTGGTCATGCTTCAAATCTTATAATTGATGGCTTAATTCTGCTAGATCGGCAATTTTATTTCTATTCCAATCAAACATAATATGCATCCAAAGACATGTTTTAATCTTGAATAAGCTCACTAGTTAATGAGGTCCAATCTAATGACACTACCATAGCTACATTGATCCGGTCGAACCTCACTGGTAAGACTTTAGATTAGAAATTATTGATTAGTGATCTTGTTCATGATCAAGATATTTACTTTGTTTGTTTGCTATGACTACATCGGCTATTTTAGCCAATTTGCATGTACTCTCACGCATATAGCATGTTTTCATGAATCTATCAACATATAGATGATTTTATAGGTTCTTTGGCTTTAGTTTGTTATCATTATCATAGCTGCATCGATCCGATCGAACCTCACTGTTGATGATAATAGATTAGATTCAAACTGTTTGTAGATTCATTTATATTAGACAGTTGATTTGTTCGCATGTTATACTCTTTTCATCAAACTGATCGGCTCGACACTTTATATTAG